GGGTTGCGATCCGTTGCCGGACACGGAAAAAGACAAAAAAGACAAAAAAAAAAAAAAAAATGTGACAAACATTGATAAAAGGGAAATTACTCCGCTCATTTTTTATTGGAAATGTTGATTGATTTTGCCTCTACGGAAGGCATTATAATGTTTTTAATTAATATATAAAATACATAAACACCTTATTCCAGCAATTCCATTATAGAAGTTTGTGCCTAAATAAATATTAGAACAGGCATGTAAAGATAGATTTACTGGGATATTCAAATAATATTTGTAATAAGGAAAAACTGAAACACCCTAAATGACTGATGGAGTTTGGATGTGTTGTCCCCTCCAAAACTCATGTGGAAATTTGGTCTCCAATGTGGCAGTGTTGGAAACTGATTGAGTCATGGGGGCGGATCCCTCATGAATGGATTAATGCTCTCCCTGGAGGAGGAGGGGTACTGAGTGAGTTCTCGCTCTATTAGTTCCCAGGAGGGCTCATTGCTTAAAAAGATCCTGGCACCTTCTCTCTCTCTTGCTTCCCCTCTCTTGCTTCCTCTCTCGTTATGTGATCTGCTTGTATCCGCCGGCTGCCTGCCACTTTCCGCCATGAGTAGAAGCAGCCTGAGGCCCATGCCAGATGCAGCTGTCCCAGAATTGTAAGCCAAATAAACCTCTTTTCCTTATAAATTACCCAGTCTCAGGTATTTCTGTTATAGCAACACAAAATGGACTAATACGGAAAATCGGTACCAAGGAGTGGGGTGTTGCTATACAGATACCTGAAAATGTGGATGCGTCTTTGGAACTGGGTAATGGGCAAAGGTTGGAGGAGTCTGGAGGACTTAGAAAAAGACAAAAAGATGAGAGAATGCTTGGAAGATTTTAGAGAATGGCTGTGACCAGAATGCTGATAGAAATGTGGACAGTAAAGACCATGCAGATGATGAGGTCTCAGATAGAAGTGAGGAACTTATTGGGAATTGGACAAAAGATCACCCTTGCTACACCATAGCAAGGAACCTGGCTGCATTGTGTCCATGCCCTTGGACTTTGTGGAAGATGGAATTTAACAGTTGTGAATCAGAGCATTTGTCCAAAGAAATTTCTAAGCAGCAATGCATTAAGGACACTGCATGGCTACTTCTAACAGTCTATTCTGAGTTATGGCAGCAAAGGCATGATGTAAAGCCAGAATTTAAAAGGGAAGCAGAGCATAAGGTTTTGGAATATTTGCAGCCCGTCCATGTGGTAGAGAAGCAGAGAGGAGGAGAAAAACACAAGGGTGAAGCAGATAAACTGGTTGCTAAAGACATTATCTTGGCGGTGAGGCAGCCAGATGCTAAGAACCAGGACAATGGAAAAAATGTCCTAAAGGCATTTGAGAAGTCAGGAAGGGTGTCCCACCCATCACAGGCCCTGAGGCCTAGAAGGACTGAGTTGTCCCAGAGGACAGACCTGGGGCACAGCTGCCCTTGGGAACCTGCTCCCTGCATCCCAGCTGCTCCAGCTAGAGCAGTCCCAAGTGCGGTTCGTGCAGCAGCCCTGGAGAATAGAGGCCTGAAACCTCAGTGGCATCCATGTTGTGTTGTCTGCAGGCCTGCAGGACGTGAAAGCAGTGGAGGACAGCCTCCACTCAGATTCCAGTGGATGTATGGCAAAGCCTGGGGGCCAAGGCAGAGATCTGCCGCAGGGGTGGAGCCACTGCTGAGGCCATCAACTAGAGCAATGCCGAGCAGGAAAGTGGGGTTGGAGCCCCCACAGGGAGCCCCCACCAGGGAAATGTCTAGTAGAGCCAAGGCAGCAGGACCACCATGGAGACCCCAGACTTATGGAGCTACCAGAGTGGAACACCGGCCTGGAAAAGTTGCAGGCACCAGCGCAGCCCACTGGCCTGCACCTGGCAGAGTTGTGGGAATGAGGCTGCCTGATGCTTTGGGGGCCCAGATGCCCAATTGTGCCCAGGATGCAGGACTTGGAGTCAAAGAACATTATTTTGTAGCTTTAAGACATAATGTCTCCCTTGCTGGGTTTCGGACTTGTTTGGGGCCTGTTTTTCCTTTCTTTTGGCCTATTCCTTCCTTTTGGAATGGGAATGTATACCCAATGCCTGTTCCACCATTGTATCTTGGCAGTAGATAAATTTGGTTTTGTTTTTCAGTTTCACAGCTGGAAGGCCTTTTGCTTTTGGCCTCAGAGGAGACTTTGGACTTTTAAGTTGGTGCTGGAACAAGCTAAGACTTTTGGGACTGTTGGGATAGAATGATTGTATTTTGTATGTGAGAGGAACATGAGTTTGGGGGTGCCAGGGGCGGAATGATGGAGTTTGGATGTGTTGTCCCTTCCAAAACTCATGTGGAAATTTGATCTACAATGTGGCAGTGTTGGAAACTGATTGAGTCATGGGAGCGTATCCCTCGTGAATGGATTAATACTCTCCCTGGGGGAGGGGGGGGTGAGTGAGTTCTCATTCTATTAGTTCCCGTGAGAGCTCGTTGCTTAAAAAGACCCTGGAACCTTCTCTCTCTCTCTTGCTTCCTCTGGCCATGTGATCTGCTTGTACCCGCTGGCTGCCTGCCACTTTCCGCCATGAGTAGAAGCAGTCTGAGGCCCATGCCAGATGCAGCTGTCCCAGAATCGTAAGCCAAATAAACCTCTTTCCTTTATAAATTACCCAGTCTCAGATATTCTGTTATAGCGACACAAAACAGACTAAAACAATGACCATCAAAAGAAGCATGGTTAAATAAATTTTTTGATTCATTCTATGGAAGGTTAAAAAAGAATGACACTGACGAAGCAGCAAAAGATCAGGAATGCAGAGTTCTGTCTCTAGTACTGGTAATCTATAAATATAATGGTAATATCGACCAAGCTCCTTGTGACCTTAGGTATGGGAAATCTGTGAAAGCAGTGAAGGAGCCAGGCACAGTTAAGAGGCCAAGATCCAGGAGAAGCAACCCAAAGAGGTAAGTTAGGTGACTAGAAATGCTTTGCTCTGGGGACTTCCTCTGATTCCTGAAGAAGAGACCAAAGCTAAGAATAAGTAGCCAGCAGTTGTGATTTGGCTGTGGAGCCAGCCATGGGAAAGGACACTAGCACACACTTTGCATTCTGATCCCTAAAAGCTATATCCTATGAATGAATAAGAGTAAACTGGGGGGAAGGGTGGGAGAGGGAGATGGGGAAAGATTGGACAAGAGGCATAAAGAATAATTATGATTTGTAAGAATATATAAGCTAGTAATATTGATTTGATCAACATATGTCAACATTGAACCCCCAAAACATGTATAGTTAATTTCAATTCAATAAAAATTAAAAAAAAAAAAAAAAGGGTATACCAAAAGTAGACTGGCCATCACAAGGACTGAAAGACTAACTGCCAATTATCTAAATCACTGAAACTGGATTAAAGTGATTTAAGATTGTAATTGCCCCCAATACATGAAACAAACAAATTCTCTGTAGAAGAAAATACTATCTTAGGCCTCATAATATTTCTTTGGTTTTTCTCATCAAAAGTAATCAGACACAAGAAAAAGCAAGGCCACATGAATCAAAACTGTAAGAAACAAAAGAAAATATAAACAGACCCACAGACACAGATAATGGAATTAACAGATATAAACTTTTAAATTACTATGTGCTTACTGCGATCAAAGAGATGATAAGCAAGAATGAATATTTTGGTAAAGAATCTGAGACTATATAAACAAAAGAACCAAATTGAAATTGCAGAACTGAAAAACAACAAAAATAAGAAAATAAATGGTTAACTACAGCCAGTTACCACTGAAAAGAAAATTAGTTAGAACTGTTAGATAGGTTAAAAGTAAATATCTAGTATGAAGCACAGAGAGACAAGGGGATGAAAAATACAGAAGACAAGTATAAATGGAAAGGATGTGGTGAAAACTAACACACGTGTAAATGGAATCACTGAAGGACAAGGGAAAGCAAGTGATGGCAAAAACCAAGATTTGAAGAGAAACTGACAATTTTCCTAAATGATATGTCATTAAGCCACAGATTCAAGAAGCACTACAAGCCCAATGCAGGATATATATAAAGCCACACCTTGTCATCATAGTAAAACTGCTAACAAACAAACCAAAGGCAAAGAAAATGCTAACAGTAAATAGCCAACAACCCAGAATTCTATGCCAAGCGAAAATATCCTCCAGAAATCAAAATGGCTTTAAAAGATTTTCAAATGACAAAACTGAATTTGTCACTAAAAGGAAATAATAAAAGACATTCTAATTTATATCAGCCTTGACCACATCAAGATGCATATTTTACTAAAAAAAAAAAAAATAAAAGGAAAAAACTTATCTGGGGGATATGATTATTCATATGTTCTAACAAAACAGCACATTTAGAAGGGAAATACTACTGGCAGTTAAACCAGAAGACCATGTGCTAGAATCCAATTATGAAATTCAACTGTTTGACTACAGGCTGTTTTGCCACTGTACTTGTCAAAATGGAGGACAAGCAGTCATGAATTAAAGAAAAGCACTGGTTTGGGGGGAAATGTATAGGCTTACCACTCTCTGCCATTCCATCGCCTTCTCATGGTTATAAATCTACTTTCATAACAGAGTTCTTGGAACATTATTAAATTAGAATTTTTACTTAAGCATTTGCAAATTCTTCAAGATTTTGTATTTTCCTTCATCCTTTAAAATTTTCATTTCTTTTCCTTTTTTCTTTTTTGAGGGGGGGAGTGGGAGGTACTCATACGTTTAGTACTATGCCTGCTTTTATCATGTTTTTAACGTATTAAAAAAAAACGTTGATTTCTTTCCCTAGCTGCAAGTAGCATGTTCATGGTTTACCTTTCAGTTTTCACCTAACATGGCCTGAGCTCATTTTATTTTATCAAACCTGACCATTAAGAACATGCCTTTTGCAACATAGATGGACTTGGAGGTCATTATGTTAAGTGAAGTAAGCCAGGCACAAAAAGACAAATACCACACGACCTCACTCATATGTGGGATCTAAGAAAGAAAAAAAATGTTGATATTATAGAGGCACAGGCAGAGAACAGGACAGTGGTTACCAGAGACTGGAGAGGGAAAGGTGGAGGAAGGGAAAACAAGGAGAGGCTGGCCAACAGGTACAAAATTACAATTAGATAGGAGGAATAATTTCTAATGTTCTTGTACACAGTAGGGTCACTATGGTTAAGAGTTAAGTTTTGTATATTACATAATAGCTAGAGAAGAGGCTTTTGAATGTTTTCACCACAAAGAAATGATAAACACATGAGGTAACTACCTTAACCCCTTCATTACATAACATTTATGTATCAAAACATCAGACTGTATTCCATAAGTATGTAAACATGTAAGTTAAAATTTTTTTTTTTAAAAGCTTTCTTCTTTATTACATGGAAACTGTAATATTGCATTAACAATATTCAAGGATGAAGTGAAAACACAGTGCATACTAAATTGATATTGCTCACAAAATACTTGTATTGACAAACCACAAATTCCTCTTCCTGAGAGATGTCTGAAATAGGCACCTGAATGAGCTCTTTCTGTTCATTCCCCAGCCGGCTACAGCTGGTCCAGGGTGTACAGCTGATCTTCGAGCCCTTTAATGGCTTTCATATTCTGATTACCAAGTTTGGCAATAGTTTGACAGCATTCTGCTATAAATGGTCGAATAATCCATAAGTCAAGCTAAATGACAAGGAAACATTTATAGATAAAATATTCAACAAATAGTTTAATATATATATTTCACACTATTTTGGTACACAGCTTCAGAGAAAATAAGTGATACAGAAAGATATAGAAAAGCAAAAGCATGGGAAATCTAAGAGCAAGAACAGGATAAATACCATCCTAAACAATTAATCCCAAATACACTAGAATATATAATTGGGAACATAGTTCCAGGAATCACACATTTCAGTCACACAATTTAATCAACTCTCAACATCCCTCAGAAAGTGTTACTTGCAAGTTCTTATGAAGTACAGCAGACTTAATGACTAAAACTCATTCCTTGGTCATTAATTATCTTACCTATCCAACTTCTCTCTAAAACATATCAACTTCTTCGGTCAAACTTACCTCTCTCCTGTAGACAGAAGATAAAACTCCTTTATTCTCAGTCTCAATCTCCTCAAGGAATTTGATTAATTAACTGTGCTTTATTATTCTTCAATCTCTCCTGTTCCCTGGTTTTAATTCTATAAATTTGTTGGATTTCATGAAACCTAGAGAATTTTTCAACACTGCTTCGTTTCCTTGAAATAGTATTTTATACTGGCTGCCTTTTTCTCTTCATTTTCTATAGCAACTGGTTGGACAAAGATCACCAATGACCTCAACTCTACTTGAGGCTCTTGTACATGTAGCATAGCAGACAACCCTTTCCAAACTCCACAGACTTTGAGACATTCCCTCTGCTGGTTCCTCCACAGCATCCTTCTCTGGCTCCTTTTCCTCTATCTCTGACTTTGTCCTTAGCCCATTTTTACTCTCCTCTAAATGATTTCAGCATTAAGCATAACTTCTATGGAGGTAACTCCCAAACCTTTTTCAATCTCTGATCTGTCTCATAAATTCTCAGACTGTGTTTCTGATTGTTTACTAATATCTACGTGTAGATATCAACCATGCTGCCTTTTACTACTGACTTCTTATGGCTGTCTCCTGATAAAAGCCCCAAATGGCTTCCTTCTGTCCACAAATAACATCCAATAAATGTAGAATAAAAGCTTCAGTGATTTGTTACCAGCAAATCTTTCCAGGCCTACCACATTTTCAAGCTGAATCAGCTGTTACTTTAAGACGAACCCTGTGTTTTTCTACCTCTGATCTTTGTTCACATTGCATATACTGCCTAGCTGTGTAAGCCCATGTCTTCTCTGATCTCTATAGTCAAAAGGACTGTGACTTATTTTATATATGGTGTCTTATACACAGAGCACACAAAAGCAGTTAAAACTGAACTATGCCATTGTTATTATCAAGAATTCAGTGTGATTCATAAGAGGCTGCATTTCTAACACCACCAAAAAAAGTTAACAGAGCCATACTATTATTTATGTATATATAGGCAGCACTTGCTTTGCATAATATTGCCTTAACTGAAATTTGTGAATATGCACAGTTTTTCTCACTTTTCTCAATTTTGTGGTAACAGACTCCAATGTGCACACATTTCCATTCCACAGTACTATGCAAAACAGAATCTGCTTATAAATTATTATAGTGATAAAGGCCTGAAAAAGATGACTAAAATTAGTTCAAATTTTCAAATTGAGCAAAATTACAACTATACATAAACTTAATAGAGGAATGATTTAAACAAGATGAAACAAAAACAAGGCTCCTGATGATGTTTCTGTATGTCATTGAAAGTATAATACAACTGCACTGACAAACATGAAAAAGTATTTTAATGATTCACCGAATAAAGTTTACATAACATGGCTTCCTAATAATCTTGTTGTATTTAGTATTTTATTCCATTTGCCCACTAGCAATAAAATTTAAAATTTCTGAATAAAGTCATTGAGGAAATGTTTTAGATAATATATATATAAACCACAGAATCATATTGATCATATTAATAATTATTTAGCAAATTTTCAGTGCTTAACACTTAGTGCTACAGTAATTTTTAACCTTGGGCTTTCTTTGACATCTATAAAGCTAATGTGATTGTTGCCTTAGAGAAGAAACTATAAAAATAAGTTTCATAATATTCCATAAGATCACAAGTTGACTGAAAGAAATACTAAGATTCAATAAATTATGCTGGCATTAATCCAGACAGCTTATAAGTGAGCTAAGTGCACACACTTCTAATTATTAATCAGTTCTAATTATTAATCTAATTATTAATCAGAAACACAAATCAGTTTGCCTTTTGTAGTAAAATCTGAAATAGAACATCCAAGAGTCATCATAGCAAGAATTTACTGAAATCTAAAAAAACTACATGTCTACAAAAATGCAACAACAATTCTAAGATTTTCCTGATAGATTAAATTGGGGTGGGGGGAGAGTAAATTATTCACAAAACTAGCACCTGTCAACCCCCACAAATATAAAACTGGGAATTCAACCTGTGAAGTGACATTATGTATGACAGAGGTTAATACTTAAATGGCAGTGCCAAGAATTGAGGGCCTGTGATTCTAAATCCTAAATTCCAAAATACATGTCTTGACTAACTTGCTGAAAAAGATATTTGAATTTGACAATTGGAAATACTTGTGACAAATACTGTTGCAATTGGGATTAGCCTGTAAAAATGATGGCTTTAAACAGAATTTGCTCTTATAAAACATCAAACCGTAGCACATATTTGATTAATTCATTGGCAAACAGCACTACTGCTATCAGGTATCAAGTAGGTTAGTTGTTTTAAATAACTATTTAATAAATGTGAGATAAAAAGAAACCATCTCTAATCAGAGAGAAATCCCTTACTCAGTTCCATCAATTTTTAAAAATGCCACTGCTGGTATCAAGAATAAATACTTGTACATGGAACTACTGAAAGGAAAAAAATATTAATGTATTAAAAACATCGTGGCAAAGTGCCATTTCTTACATGATACATCCCATTTACATAACATCACATATTGTGTAAAATGTAAGCAAAAATATAAAAACAAACTTACCCAAAAATGAGTTTTCACTTCTTTACAGCAAACAATACCTTTTAGTCTAATGAGCATGTGCAATTGAGTGAAGCATTATAGGCAGTATTTTAAGTCATGTTAACTAATTTTATAACAAACCAGTATAAACAAATGAAAGTTTATATTGTACTTTTGTAATTTAATTGCCATATAAAATATCACAAAGACTTCAGATGTTGTTGCTATGTGTTATGAAAGTAACCTTTAACCTCTGAGAAGTCAATATTATGATCTCCTAGTAAAAAACAGTATAGCTAACTTCTGTTTTCAACAGGTATAAATACTTGCAAATTTTCATTATTAAGCCAGAAGGGGATCATTGTTTCTTCTTGACAAATAAAGTGAAGAAAACCTACGACTCTGCTAGATTTCAGGTTCTCCTCAGAGTCTGCAACCATACTCTGACTTCTGGCACAGTTTTAATTATAAAAAAGTGACACCTCAATTATCCTGTCCACAATCAAGTGGGTGATTATCTACAATCATAAAAGAAATTTTTAGGCTACCAAATGTCAATAGTTTAAGCAGGAACACTAGCTTTCATTCATTTTTGTCAGTAACCTTTGCATAATATAGTACATACTTTGCTTCCCTGGCAAACATATCTTAATTGGCTCAAATATCTACACTATAGGATGTCAAGGAAATGGATACTGAAAGAACTAAGAAACCTACATTTCTTAAATTTTTCTATTTTTCTATGTCCTATAATTTAAACAAGAAAAGTATGCGCTGTTCTCTGGGCATCCCAGACAATGTGCTGTCTTTCTCTAAGTAGTGAATCAAAGATCAAATCTCTTTTCCAATTGAGTGCCCCTGGAGAAAAGTTTAATAACTATACTGACCATTATCTTTTGACAACAGCAAACTTCAAGACTTATTTAATTTTTCTGCATCACTGAAACATGTGCCCTATCAACTTCATTTCTGGCCTCAAAGATTTTGTATCAGCTTGTGGATCAGATATGGAGAGGTATTTATTTTCAGATTTAAAAGTTTTTGCAAGTTTATCCAAAACATAAGCTCTAAAACATAATATCTAAAACATAAACACAATCATAAAATACAAAGAACATCTAAGTTTTCTATTTTAAAGACCTCCAGCAGATACAGTATTTAAAATCTCTTCTTTAAAAAGTCAGAAAGAGGGGGCTGGCCAGTTAGCCTACTTGGGAGAGTGCGGTGCTGGTAACACCAACATCAAGGGTTCAGATCCTCTTACTGGCCAGCTGCCAAAAAAAAAAAAAAGTCAGAAAAAGGTTTCCTCTAGGGAGATGGTGATTGTAAAGAGGCACAAGAGGACTCTCTGGGTGATGGAAATATTTAATAACTTCTTTTGGGTGGTGGCTACTCCCTTATTGTATATAAGTCATTTTCATACCACTAGAAATTTTACCTACATAATCTCTAATAATCTTCATAAATTGACAGTCAATTAATAAATAAGGTTACAAATTAAATAATTTGATTCAACCTAGGTTATAAAGCTTCACTCCAAGCCTTCTTATTTTCACTATAAAATAATACTCATTCACTCCAAGGCTTCTTATTTTTACCATAACATAATATTTGTTCTCCTATTATATAAGATATTTACTGTAAATAAGTAATATAATTTAAAGTAGCCAAAGTCATAAGAAATATCAAATTAACGTTACTTACCCTGCTCATAGAATCAAAGCACTTTCTAACCAAAGATTCCGTATCATTAGGTCTATCTTGAACATTTATCCACTCTAACAAAGAAACATTGAAAAAGGGCAGATCACTGTCTTTAGTGTCTGCTGAAGTATCGTCCTGCTGGACAGTACTCTGACAAGACTCCCTACTTTCTTTGCTTCTTTCAGCATCTGGGGCTACATGTTCCACTGACATGTGAAATGAAGTTAACAAGGATTTGTTAGTTGTTGTAGGCCTCTCAGGAGAGAGCACCAGTTCAGCGGGTCTTTTCATTTCAGCCTTCTCTGCTTCATGTTCAAGTAAAGAATCCAGTCTTCCCAAACACTCCCTGTAATTGGGTGTGGTTAGACACTCCAACAGTGGAGGCTTGGCCATTACTGAAACCGCAGTTCCTAAACTTGAAATACAAAAGAGCTGTCAGTAAAACAGCAAGTCTGTGGGGATTAGCATGTTTGAATTAAATCAGATTTTGTTATTACACACACAAAAGGATCTAGTTTAGTGAAGAGAGATATAACACATCAAAGCATCACCCTAAAGTAAAGCTAAATAAATAAAGTTTCAAAATAGGAAATAAAACAAAAAAAGGAAAAAATATAAAGCTAACTAGATTATACTAGACAAGTGAACACCTGGCTTCTATCAAACCTTAAGGTATTACAAATTCGAATCTACAAAGAAGATTCATCATAGTAGTCCCTTGGCATACAGTCATGTGCTACATAACCACGTTTTGGTCAACAACAGACAGTATATATGATGGTCACTATAACAGCCATTATAATGGCAATACCATGCAGCCTAGGTGTGTAGCAAGCCATACCACCTAGACTTGTGTAAGTAAACTGTATGATGTTCACAAAATGACAAAATCACCTGATGATGCATTTCTCAGAATGTATCACTGTTGTTAAGCAACACATGATACAACCTTTTGTTTTTAAGTCAATCAAATATATTTGATATAATGAAGCACAGTTTAAAATGAACACTCCTAATAAAGATTAGGTTAACGCTTCCATTCATCACATCCTGAAAAGAGACAGATGCATGTTGTAAAAGGCATGGAGAAAATATGAAATCTTGATGATCTGACTTCCATAAAACCCTATGTAGCAGCTTTGACACAGGCTCCTCCATTAAACTGACATAGCTAATACAACTTCCCAAAAAATAATTACTTGAAAAGGTTATTATATAAACTTTAAAAAGATCTTTCTAGTCTTAATTATTATCTTTCCTGCCAAGATTTCTTTCACTGTCAACTTCAGGCCAAAATCTATCTAAATATTCATACCACAAAATAGAGAAACATGAATTAAAGAGGTTACCTAAAGAAAGAAAAGAAGAACAAAAAATGAAGCGGCAGGCAGAAAAAATTGAAAGAACGAAAGAACAAACAAAGGAAAGGAAGGTAGGAAGGAAAGGAAAGATGCTACTTGCCTCTAATTCAAGATCAAGTTAATAAAAAAACAAGACAACACAACAAAAACCAAAAAAACTGAACGCAAAATATCGAAAGTGTGGCATACACACACATGCACAATAAAGAGCTATATTCAGAACCAGTGTGTAATTAGATGTGTTTCTATGCAAAGAATTAAAAAGCCACCTAAATTAGAGCTAGAACATAATGGCTTTTTTTCCCCATCTTATCAAACCTGTATCAGGATGGCAATATTTTAAAAGAAACTTAAAGTTTTCCTTGGTGGTCCAATGTTTGCTAACTTTTCCATTTCAATTAGGTGTGTTATTTTTACATTTTGCATTTTCCTTATTGGTCAAAAAATAGGCAAAGATTCTCGGTTTTGTAAATGATTTCAAGAGTATTTTGAGCTTTTTTCATAATAAAACAACTCAAGAATAAGAAATGTGGGAGACAAAATACATGGTAAATAAAATTGACGATAATTTTCAAATTATAAAGTTATAAAAACTACAATCTATAAAGCACTATCATAAAAGGCTCAAAAATAAACCTCCGTAATAATAAATATATGGCCTATGAGAAACAAACTTACAGTAACTCAAACTACTGATAAATTTCAAAGCCATGTTAAACAAACATCTTATTATCCACTTTAATGGCAAACATACTGAGTAAGTTTTAACTTGATGTCTTCTATGGATTGCAGATAATTTGAATAAATACTTTCAAACTTGAAAAGTAGCTTTTGGTATGAATTTGAACAGTCCTCCAGGTTGGCCATGATTGCAGCCCAGCCTTGGTGTTGAAGATGTTCATCATGGACAAGACCTTCACAAAAAGAAGTTTCTTGGTAACTTCATACATTTCGTATATGGAAAAAGGGGAAAAAAGACTTTAAAAGGGGGCAATGGTTTGTGTGCACGTGTTTGCATATGTGTACATACATGTATGCATGATACATTCTAAGCACATTTTTTGAAGTATTTTTAATAGACTGTGCTAGCTTATCTTACTGTGCATACTTATAAAACCTAAAAATAACACAGGATATGAATACTAAGGTGTTTCTGAGCAGGTATCCTAAGAGGAAAGTCAACAGAAGAATTCGTTACCTCCGGAAAATAGAACAGTGGGGTTTCCTATGATTTGACTAATGACTAACATGTCCCATCTCAAATACCACTGTCCTCTAAAGAGTTATCTCAAGACTGACATCCCTATTAAAAACAATTTTTGCGGAAGGCAAACACTAAAGACTAAAATACATATCTACTTACAGATTAATTTAACACAATTTGTGACCTAATAAAATTCTTGAAAATATTTTATGTAAGCAGCAAAAATACCTTTAGAATGAACATTTGAAATTCAGTTGCAAAGAACAAATATAAAAATACTTATCTAGTATAAACCACTAGAACGCAATGTAGGAGATACATGAATAAAATAAGTCCTTTGGCATAAACAATTTTAGTCTGCTAGTAAATAAAAGAGACCATTCTAACTTTGTTACCTGCTTTAAGACAGACATAAAAGTTAAAAGACAGAAAAAAAGCCAAGGCTTTCTGAGGGTGAGAGCATTTAAGTACTGAAGTTTGAAGAGAATATGGACAAATAAGAATGGGAAAAGAAGCATTTCAAAAGGTTGGAGGGCTGGCCGGTTAACTCAGTTGGTTAGAGCACAGCCTTATAACACTAAGGTCATGGGTTTGGATCCCCATACCAGCCAGGCTTCACCCCCCATTGCCCCCCAAAATCAAAAGGTTGGAGCAGAATAAAATGGCAAAGGCAAGAAAATGTCAAATACTATTGGTTAAGAACAAATAGTTTGAAGGAAAAAGTGAGAGGAGAGAGGGCCAAATAACAAAAGACCCAGAAAATACTAAGGTAATACTGTAAGTAAGGAGTTGGACTTCACTCAAAAACAAAGACCTCCTGAAGAACACTTTAACATGGAAGAACAGGATCAAATATATGCTTTAAGAAGACTGATGATCTGGGAAAAGTTTATAAGGTGGAAGGGAACTAGGTATCTGAAAGAATGGATGTAAAATGATTATTTTTATGTTGTCACAAGCTAGTTGTAAAAAAGACTACTATAAATGCAGAAGTTATCTAGTTATCAAAATAAATAGGAACTAAGATAATCTCTGTGGGCTAAGGGATGTCAGTAAGGTGCTTGTGTCATATCATTAAAGACTACTCTGTTACACCGACTCTAAAATAGAGGGGAAAAAATACAAAACTATAAGCCACAAGAAAAGATGTTTGCATATTTTTAAAGACATACTCAGGTGACACCCTTGAAAGGGCCAGTAAAAAAAAAATGTGGGGTACGTTAAAGCAAGAATTACTTGTAGTACTTACAAAAAATATAGGGAGAAAATTCTTAAACACACAAAAGATAGAGAACATTAGAAATTAAAATATGATTCTAAATAAACACTTTAATTTCTGGAATTGTTAAAAACTATAAACATAGAATGGTTTAAAATATACATATTGGATGTGTGTGGGTATATATAAACAGATAAATATGAGGGTACTTCAAAAAGTTCGTGGAAATATTCATATTACCTTTCAATTCTATTTTTCCAGGAACTTTCTGAAGTATCCTCATGTACCAGAAATAGAGGCATAATATCCATAAGGCACAGAGATACCTATAATTTATGAAAACGCAACCCAATAGGAAACTAGACAAAGTACGTGAACAGGAGAATACCATAGATGCACAAAGAATAAATGGAAAACGTTCAACTTCAGTAATAACCCAAGAACTGAAAAACAAATTAATAAGGTCCCATTACTCTCACCTATCACAATGACAAAATTGAAGACAGAAAAATGTAGTCTTCAGGGTGGGGAAATATAGATACTTTCAAATTGGCTTAAGTGCAATTTGGAAACAATTATACAAACAAAATATATAATTTGACATAGCAATTGTGCTTCTAGGTATTTATCCTATGGAAATACTGTCACAGACAAACATAAACATAAATATTTAAGTATGTTGACTGCAGCACTGTTTAATAACAAAATAAAAAGATGATAACAGTTGGAGGACAACCTAAATAGTTATCCAGAGAGGGTTGTTTAATTTATATTTCCAAAATGGAGTACCTTGCAACAATGAAAAAGGAATAATATACAGTATGCTTACATTTATTTGGGGGGCTGAGGTGGGTTAGAAAATGTGAAACAGCAGGGACATGAGATAGAAACATCCCATGTGTATGCGTGTTTGTGTATATAAAAGTCTGGGAAAATGCATAACAAATATATGATCATTATTGGGATAAGGCGGGGGATGAAATGAAAAACAAAATCAACTTTTTCTATCTATATTTTGCTGAAGCGGTATAAACATACAAACAAAAACTATTATCACCCTCTGCTTTAAAAGACAGTATTGCTAATGAGCAAACTGAGCCCAAAAGAAGTATCTTTAGAGGTGAAAATATTAATGTTTGCTTTGTGGCAGCACAGTGACACGAAGAAAAAAGAGCACTGGCTTTGGGGAAAAGAGGTCCTTCGTTCTCACTGGCTATTTCACCTTGAAGAAATTACTTAACCTCACCCGTTCTTATTCTCTTATGTGTATAAGGAAAGGATGGTAGTTCCAGTTTTGAGATGATGAAGACATCTCTGCCTGCTCCTCCTTCCTGAAACCAACCAAATACAACAAGGAAAGCAAGAAACAAAGACTCCATATCTCAGTGAAAAGAGGAAATAACGATATTGCCCCTACCTCATACACATACAATATATGCAGTAAACCTGTGAATACAAAAATTGGATCATGTTGGATCAAATAGAGAGAGAGGGTACCTACTATTGCAGATCTTTAGGAAAACGGGGAGAAATGAATCCTCCTGGTGAAACTTGGGTGGGCTACCTGAACCTCTCTGGGTCTTATCTGAAACCCAAGAATAGCAGGAGAAGAAAACATAAAACCTAGCACTGATATGACACATTATATTCCAACAGGATTTACAACTGGAAAGAATGGTTTAATATGTTTTGTTAAATAGATCCCCATGTTTAAAAAGTCAGATATTTCCGATGTTAAAAATACAAAAAACTTCTTTAACAAAATTAAGAATAGATACATGCCAAGATTCAGGACCAGGACATGAACATTTTTAATTACATAAGAGAAAAAAAGAAGTAACAATGAGAAAGTGGTTGTTTGCAAAATAAATGCATAAAGGTCAATAATAGCCTTCCTATATATAAATAGAAATATAATGAAAGAAAAGATGCCACTTACAAATGGCAACTTTGATAAAAATAATTCAGTTTCTCCTATGTGAATCTATACAATTATTGAGAACAATATTTCCAAAATTTAAACCTGATATTAAAATTTACATGGAAAAATAAATCAGTACACAAAAACTAAGATATGCTAAATGTCATGAGGAAGGGAAGAGAAACATTTTTAATCACAACAAATTAGCAATAAAGTTTGCTACTAAAATGGAGAAATAAATCTATCAAGATATAGAACCACGTACACATTGGAATTTACTAGAGAATAAAGATAGTATTTTGAATGGCGAAAAAATATATTATTTAATAAGTGGTATCAATATAACTAGGTGGTGAGTTGAAAAAAATAATAGAAATATCACTCACACATTATACAAAAATTTGAAAGGAACGAATTATGAAAATAAATATATACAAGAAGTAGTGAAAAAAGTATGATCTTAATCTTGAAGCAAGGAACTCTTTTCTAAGCTTGTCACAAAATGTAGAAATGAAAAATACTTGATAAATTTAAAGATATATAAATTCCCATTTGAGAAATAATACATAGGCAAAATACAAATAAAAAATTGGGAAAAGATGTGCAAGAAACTTGATGAATAAAGGGCAATTTTCTTTCACATATAAGTTTTCTACAAAGCAGTCAGGAAAAATACAAAACACTTTACAAAAGAGAGAGAGAAAGGGCAGGCACAGACATATTAACAACAATAAGAAATACAATTGGGATTTTACAATAAGACACTGATCTACAGTTTGCACTGCCTTATGATAATGGAGAGGAAGAGAAATGCTGACGGAGGTTGGTAGAGTATCTGTAGAGGGCATTTCAGCAATAACTATCAAAATTAAAATTAATCTATCATTTGGCACAGTGTTTCCTCTTACAGGAATTCATGTTATCTATGTTTAAACAAATAAGGAATACCAAAAGTTTCTTTATTTCAACACTATAAAATGAAATGGAAACAACCTCAATGTCTATCAATAAATTTATATCCATACAATAAAACTTATGTAGCCGTTATTAAAAAAATTTTTTTCTTTTACGTAAGAATTTGAAAACATCAAGATACAGTATTAAATTTTATAAAGTTATACTCAAAGTGAATTTTCTATTTTTATAATCATATATAAGAAACCAATTACAGGTAACATATAGATCTAAATATGAAATATTAAAAAGAAAAGGGGGCTCTGGAAGATAACACACCTGATATACTTCAGGGCCTCTGCATTGGCTGTTCCCTTCATGACTTTAGGATAAGCAAAAAAGAAATCTTAAATAAGACCCAAGAGCAAGACTACTGAGAAATTTGATATTAAAATAAGGAATTTCTATTCATCCCAAGACACCATTAGTCAAGTGAAAAGGCAAGCCACAGAATAACATAAGATATTTTCAACATATATTAACCAACAAAGAGCATATATGAAGATTATATAAAAGGGGCTATAAAGCAATTAGAAAAGGACTGACAACCCAATAGAGAACAGTCAGAAAACCTGAAGAGTCATTTCACAAAAAAGGATATCCAAATGGCTCATAAATGTATGGAAATATGCTCAAGCTCATTAACTACCAAAGTAAGCAAATTAAACCACCATGGCTTACCACTATGCACCCACCAGAATAACTAAAATTAAAAGCACCAAGAAAACCAAGTATCAGTGACTTTGTTGAGCAAGTGAAACAGCCACATACTGTTGCTGGAAGTATGAATAGATATAACCACTTTCAAAACATTAGTGGTAGGTAAAGTTGAAGAGAGGCATAGCCTAGTTATGGACGCCACAGAAATGCAAATAAAAGTAAACCAATGTACAAGAATATTCACAGCAGCCTTAGTCAGAAGTAATTATCTGCATGTTATCATCTAGAAGAAAGTTGACCAAATCGTGTTTAAGCTTTTCCACTCTAAAATCCTGCAAT